ACAACACATTCACAAATTTTCCTTTCATATATTGAAGACTAGCTTCGCCCGGGACTTGGATTCACCACGCCCGGCCGCCTTTGTCTCCCCAGTGGCGATGTTCACAACCACATCAGTTACTCGTTTGAGGCTGAGACGACCTAGGGGAAGCCCAGGACCAGTAAAATAATCGTGGTGGCCGTGAGCGGGAATCGGACTCGGATCGCCGGGTTCGTAGCGCAGTGCGCTCACCACACATCATCTCTAAAACACAGAAGTGAGATGGCTTTCTAAAGGTAGATCACTGGCCAGAGAGTTGCGAGAGCCACTCCAGAGACATCTTTTAGAAAAACAGTCACCACTGTCAGCACATTTCAGTGACACAGAATGGGTCGAAAAACTTGCTCACTTGTGTGACATATTAAGCCTGCTCAACGTACTCAATGTGTCATTTCAGGGTAGATCGACAACTCTTTTCAATTCGACAGATAAAGTGGCTGCATTCAAAGCCAAACTGGAATTATGGGGGCGACGAGTGAACATTGGAACTTTTGACATGTTTCAAACACTAGCAGAGATTTTGAAAGAGACTGAGCCAGGGCCTTTCTCCCAGCTGGTGCATTAAAACCTATCTCAGCTTTTAAAAGAGTTTGAGCGTTACTTCCCAACCACAAAAGACCCCCGAACTGGGAATAGACCCATTTGTGAATAAGCCAGGTAAATCGACTTTGTCTGTGCTAGAAGAGGATCAACTGCTTGAGATCGCAAATGGTGGCCTTAAAAGTATGTTTGAGACAACTTCAAATCTCGATACGTCTGGATTAAAGTCAAGGCGGAATATCTTGAGATTGCCACAAAAGCACATAAATCCTGCTTCCATTTCCAATGTCCTATCTTTGTGAAGCAGTGTTTTCTGCAGTGACAGCAACCAAAACGAGATTATGGAGTAGACTGGACATAGGCACACGTATCGGGTGTCACCGTTCCCATCACCCCCAGATGGGACCATCTAGTTACAGGAAAATAAGCTCAGGGCTCCCACTGATTCTGCATTATGGTGAGATGTATCATTATTTCATATTACAATGTAAAAATATAAATAAAGTGCACAATAAATATAATGCGCTTGAATTATCATGAAACCATCCCCCCCCCCCCCCCCCCCCCCCCCCCCCCCCCCCCCCGGTCCGTGAAAAAATGTCTTCTTACTAATTGTGATAATACATAGATTCTTGCTTTAACTTTTACTGATTGTTTTAGTGTAATTCTATCAGGTCTCAGAATTCAGATCTTGCCGAAGGATACAGTTGTTATAATTAAGATCATTATGCATGAACTTTGAAAGGAACCACTCAGACACTTCTGTGTTAAGCAACTTTAATTTCTAAACAAAAATATAACACTCTAATATGCAAACTCTTATGCTTGGAATTGTCACAGTACTCCTGGAGATGTGCTCATTGATCCGTACATTTAACCCTCACTGATTACGTTGTTAAACTGGGTAACAGAGCAATCGGTTAATTTCTCAGACTAACGCGAGCATAGGAAAAAGTCCTTAAAATAAATGTGACCATATTCATACGAACGGCAATAATGAAACATGTCCCAAATGCAAAAGTAGACCTCAATGAATTCATTGGTAGATTATGTAATTAACCAAACGTCTTGGAACAATGGTGTGCGGCAGTGTGCCTGTGGGGGCCGTTGGCCCCCAGGGTCTCCCCCTCACGCATCCCCTATTCCGGTTGCGTTGCCGCACCGCTCTATTACCCGCTAGGGTTTCGCCGGCCTTCGGACGCGACACCCCTACCCACACGGCCTCACGCAGCGCTCCCACGCTGCAAGCATACGTGCGCACAGCATCATCAATCAAATGCCATACTCCCCCTCTTTACACCGCTACGTACAGCTCTCGCACGCTGCGAGCGTGTGCCCGTCTACAGCCCTGCGCGGCACTCGCCTCCACGTCGAATAACCACAGTTACCAATGCGCACCCGTATCCGACACGTAGCGAACGTACGCGGACTCCCGCACACAGCTCCCCGCGGCACTCACTCACCACTGAACACTCACGTTGTGATCGCGCACCTGTATCATACACGTAGTGAACACACGCGCACCCACACGCGCAGCTCCGCGCAGCGCTCACTCACGTGGCGAACCACTGTGTACACAGCACCACACCCGTTCACACCTCTCAACTAGATCACACGAGGCCACGATTAGCTATTAATGATTTATTTTCGACCACCTGGGAATTGATATTAAATCAGTATGAATCGACGAGGCTGGCCTATTCTACTACCCCTGGACCTATTCCCTATTTATCGGCTATGATCCTACTTCACCTTCTTACTCACTGTTAGGTGCCCACAGCGGTCCGTTGATCCCGTACTCGCGGCGTACCTCGATGCGTCTCACGGACGTTCGGGTCGCTGGCTGGAGAGCGTCTTGTCGCCTGGTGCTGGAGTAAGAGAGCGATATCCCCTTTGCGCCCCATTTTTATCCTCCCTACATCAAAGGGATGCGGCTCCGAGCGTGGTGGCGGCCCCCTCCCAGTTTTTCTTTAACAATGGGCGCGTGCCCGTCAGCACGCGTACGGCGGTTCCGGGCGCCCTTGCTATGCTAATCAGATGCGTTGCGTGTTGCGGCGTTTATTCTAATTAATCCCTTTCTCATGCATGGCGCCTTGGTCTTGCGCATTATGCAGCGGCGTCCATCACCACGGCCTGCCTGTGGAAGTTAAGCGCGGAGCCTCCGCATGTCTCCACCACCTGCCCCATCACTTGCGCACTATGCGCCCGAGTCGCCTCTCTGATTATTTGCAATTCCAGCCCTATCCTTTAACTTCCCTAACAATGGCACCTACGCACTCGAGCCCTCTTTGGCACGCTAAACTATGCCGCCCCGTCCCTCCTCTGCCTATCTCGTCGACCCGTGGGGGTGTGTGTGGGGGGATGCGTTTCAACCGCGGTGGCCGAATGCCCTTCGCCGCGACCATACCATCTTAAGGCCGGTCGCAGCGCCGCGGTGCAAAGTAGCGTCGGGGAGGTCGTCCAATTCCCTGGTCGCCGGAAACCGTGAAAGTTAATCACGATAAGGGTTTCTCGGATAAAAACGGTCAGTCAGGTGACCTCCCCTCGGAGCTCTATGGGGGGGGGAAATGCGTGCGGGTGTGTTCATGTGAGGTGAGGGGGACGCAGTGTCGGCTCCGTCACTTGGTGGTGGCGAGGTTGTAGATGGGGCGCCTGCTGAACGGCTTCGTGGCGGCGGCATCACATGCCTGCTTCAGCAAATGCTTATCAATTGGCAAAGGCTTCAATAAATTCGCGAGCAAGACTCTGTGATCAAAAGAAAGATTTCAACACAATAGTCTTACTGTGAGTGTGTGGATTCGTAACGTAGGTTTCTAAACGTTAAGTTTCGTCAATGAATTCATCGGTACAGTTAAAATTAACAAAAAGAACGACTAAAATACTTCTCAAAGACCGTATCCACGTGACTCGATAAGCAGCAATGTTCTTCATTATCAGCTAATAGTTGACGCACTCTTATGATTATTCTTCTCATTATTAGTCCCGGTATGTGCGGTGTGTGTTTGGTGGTTTTGTCTCCTTGATCAATTCTTCGCGTCAAGCAGACGCTGGGTGATACGTGGCGAGTATGTGAGTGTGGGGGAGGGTCACACACACAGCTTCCTCACTCTCTCTCTCTCGGCCGCAGCTGGAGCTGCTGCCCACTGCTGGATGAAGAGTCGGAACGACGCTCGCCGTCGGCGGTGCGCGATGATTCCGTCGTCAGATAGCGCCCGCAGCTCGTCTGCTGGTCGCCGTTCCTCACTCTTGTCTTGGTTCACAGCTGGTGCTGGTCGGTGTGTGTGGGTCGAACCCACGGCGCTCTCCTCTTTCTCACGGGTGGCTATTCATGGTTTTTTCCCCTGCTGGATGAGCCGAGTCGGCACGATGCTTGTCTTTGAAGGTGCTCGACAGCGCTCGCCGCTCGTCCGCTGGCAGCTGACACCCTTGCTCGGTGGCGCTGCTGCGCTCTCTCTCTGGCTCCGTGCTCTCTGGCGATGCCTGGTTGCGCGTGCAGCTGGTTCTCTAAGATGCTGGCTTGGTCGATGCTTGGGCTTCCACCCTTTCTCCCGGTTGATTGATCGTCGTTGCTCGTCACTATCTCTCGGGCTGCAGCTGCTCGTAGGAGCTGGCACTCAGCGTTGAATAACTTTGAGCGATAATTCTTCTGTCAGCGCTGAGCTCGTACTCGGTGACCCATTGCTACTCGGCAAACTTCTTCATCCTTGGTTGATTGCAGAGTCCCACCCCAGAGCTTGCTGCTTGCAGTAAGTCAACTCTGCGTTGATTTTGTAGACTCGTGGCTTCTGCTGGTGCAGCTCGTTGACGATGTGCCAGTCACGGGGGCAGGTTCGGCGGAGCCTGCCGATCGCAGCTGCTCGTGGGAGCTGGAACTCACTCTCAAAACTTGTAAATTGTATTCGCACACCTCTTGAACAACTGTGAAAGCTTAGTACAATAAAACTTATCGCAATCCTTGACTTTGCAAGCAACTCAAAGCATCAGGATGAATGTAGAATAAAACTCTCAGCGATACTCTGTCAGTCCATGCACAACATATGCATTATCTTTGAAACTGATTGGTCCACACCAGAGACAGTTTTCTTGCGAGCCTAGTATCAAACGGTGTTAATCCAGAGGACGCCACTAGGCGTGCTCTTTTGAGTCTTTGTGATGAGGTATGATACAAAACTCCGAGTTGCTGAGGCAATTAAGCAAGCACCATATATATGCTAATATTATTATAACATAGTGAATGCTTGGGAGCTTATTGGCTCTCGCTCCTAGTTAGAGATCTACCCAACCCACAGGTCCGCAAATGCTGACCGCTCTTGCTCTGCAGGTTGAACCTAGGAATGGAGTGTTCATCTTGACGTTTTTTTCATTAATGCCTGTGACAAATGTGAAACTATTGTAGCTTCATTGTCTCAAGCTTACACATCTACAGGTTCTCCATTTGACTTTGTATTGTCCAAGAAGTCTACCCACACCTCCACATCAACAAACTGCTGGGAGTTGCCTCGCTCTGCCTCACAGTCAGAATTCTCCTCCTGCTTCACGTTGCATCCATTGATGTGAAGGTCCGATTTTGGAGTTGAATGTTCATCTTCACATTTTACCTTCACTTCTTCGCTCTTCACTATCACCTCTTCAGATTTCACCTTCGCCTCTGCAAATTTCACCTTGATACATTTCATAGTGTCCAAGCTGGAATTTACTTCTGGTTCTTTTTTCAGGAGGGATGGGCTCATTGCAGCACTTTGACTTTCACAAGTCGATTTCAGACTACACTCCTTGGGGGTCTTCTGATGCTTGTTTGTTCTCTTGTGTGTATTAAGCTGTGTTGACTGTGCAAACGCCTTCCCGCACTGAGTGCACTTGAAGGGTTTCTCTCCTGTGTGTGTTCTCTGGTGTTTTGTAAGATCAGGTGAAAATGAAAATGTCTTCTCACACACAGTGCACTTGAAGGGTTTCTCTCCTGTGTGTGTTCTCTGGTGTTTTTTAAGATCAGATGAAAATGAAAATGCCTTCCCACACACACTACACCTGAAGGGTTTCTCTCCTGTGTGTGTTCTCTGGTGTATTTTGAGACAAGACAAACTTGAAAATGCCTTCCCACACACACTGCATGTAAAGGGTTTCTCTCCTGTGTGCGTTCTCTGGTGTATTTTGAGACAAGACAAACTTGAAAATGCCTTCCCACACACACTGCACATAAAGGGTTTCTCTCCTGTGTGCGTTCTCTGGTGCATTTTAAGATTTGATGACTGTGAAAATGCCATCTCACACACACTGCACTTGAAGGGTTTCTCTCCTGTGTGTGTTCTCTGGTGTTTTTTAAGATAAATTGAACTTGAAAATGCCTTCCAACACACACTGCACTTGAAGGGTCTCTCTCCTGTGTGTGTTCTCTGGTGTATTTTAAGATAAGATGAACTTGAATATGCCTTCTCACACACAGTGCAATTGAAGGGTTTCTCTCCCGTTGGAGATCTCTGGTCCTGTGTAAAAGTTCCAGTACAATCCATGCTGCTTGCATACTGGTCCCATTGTTGTCCTTGTGTACCGAGCTGCGCTGAGTGCCTTTGCTCCATCAGACCAATTCTGCAGAGGAAGCATCAGAAGAAGCATCAGCTGCAGACAGAAAAAAATGTCCACACCATCTTCATTAGTATCGAGGCACAGAGGAATGAATATATACAGAGTCACACATGACTTACACGTCTATATTTATTCATATATTCAGGATTATCCCCAAATTCATCACACGGGCTGTTAAGGCAAACGATGAGAGGGCAAATGGTTATAAATATGCCTGGAAGCCCTAGTATCTTCAAAATAAATATTAATCCAAAACACCAAGAACACAATTTCAGCTGCCTGGCTGCAAAAGTAGTATTTATAAAAGCAAATATCAGCTAACATAGGCAAAGGCTGTTGGGAATAATACTATTTTTATTATGCAGAAATGCATCAATAAATGTTCAATCGCAACTTTAGAGGTGTGGAGCCAGGCTCAGATTTGCTTGAATGCTTGGATGAACAGATCTAACTTCAGCAGCATATGTGCTGTTAATTTCCTGTTTCCATTCTTCCAAAAAGTTCCAGAGGGAAACTAAAATAAGCGTTTGTTTTGATTTAACCTCCATGTTCAATAGTTAATATAATTTACTGCAAATACAAACTTGACACTGTCACACACTGGCATGGTAAAAAGTGGTGGTGTGTCCAGAACCATGCCTGGCCGCCTTCATCTGCTCAGTATTGATGCTTCCTCCCTTCACCATGTAATTAATTTAAGATCAATCAACATAGCAGAGGCCCACAAGCAATTCAGCTTTCACTTATCAATCATGTTTGCTGGCGGTGATAATCAAACTAATTGATGAGTTCCTAATACAGTGAAATAACTGCACCACAGCTCCCCACAAAGATAAACTCTTAAAAACACTTACATTTCACATGCATCATTAACATATATAAACAAAAATCCACCATTCATGACGAATTGCAAGTAACCTTATCCCAGTGCTAATGCCATGATAGGTGAAATTTAAGACCATGTAAGTGTGGATTCCTTGTCAGCAGGTAATAAGAATGATCCAGGTGTCAAGGGATGACTGACAGATGAACCAGCTGTGTTCCCCACTGTCTTGCTGGGTTTTAGGAACCTATTCATGTTGGCGTCGCTCTTCCGACCTCATCGTTGTTGCAGAGAAAATATATATTAACTGCCCTGCAGCATACCTGCAGGACATTTAATGTGGTGTTGGACCAGATGACGCCAAAAGGCGTACAACTCAAAAAAGGTGTCAGTTTTGTTGCCAGATAAAAGAGTAAAAAAAAACAATTATCATATTTTGCTACTGGCAAAGGAGGTTCTCCAATGGTGTACATGCTTACCCCGAGCTCTCATACTCTGATGGTGCATTGTCTTTGAGTTGTACGCCTTTTGGCGTCATCTGGTCCAACACCATGTGAGACTAGGCTCTAAGGAAAGCTGTCTCGGGTGTGGACCAATTAATTTCAAAGACAGTGCATACATTATCAAAATTGTGTTTTTGTTTGCATTCTGACCGCAGGTATTGTGGTCAATGCAAACATGACTCCTTGTAAAAAAAGGTGTCAGTTTTGTTGCCAGATAAAAGGGTAAAAAAAATTCATCATATTTAACTACTGGCAAAGGAGGTTCCAATGGTGCATTGGGAGCTTATCAAACTACATAGTTATTTATTGATTAAAAGCTTTCGTGACTGCAGGAATTAATACTCTTTGGGTCAAGTCGCGAACATTGAAAATAATAGATCACGACGTTTCGATCGCAACACAAGCAATCGTCTTCAGGTGAGAGAGAAAGCTGCTGGTCTAACACCGTTTGAGACTAGGCTCGAAAGAAAGCCGTCTCTGGTGTGGACCAATCAGTTTCACAGACAATGCATAGATTATCACAGCATGTGTTTTGTTTGCATATTGATCGCGAGTATATTGTGGCTAATGCAGACACGATTCCTTGCAAAAGGTTTCAGTTCGGCGTTTTAACATCTTAACACCTACATTTGTATTTAAAGCTTTCGTGACTGCAGGGATTAATAATCTCGGTTCTTAAGGTAAAGTCATCAAGAAGAAGGGAAATAAAAAAATAAAAAAATATGAAACAATAAAATTTCTCACGACGTTTCGATTGCAACACGAGCAATCATCGTCGGGTGTGAAAAACACGGCTAGAAAATTTTCCAAAATTTTCCAAAAATTTCTTGCTGTTTTTCACACCTAAAGTCACGTAGAAGAAAAACAATAAAATAAAAATTCTCACGACGTTTCGACTGCAACACGAGCAATCATCGTCAGCTGTGAAAAACACAGCAAGAAAATTTTCAAATCATTTCTTGCTGTTTTTCACACCTAAAGTCACTTAGAAGAAAAACAAAATAACAAAAAAAAAAATTCTCACGACGTTTCGACTGCAACACGAGCAATCGTCAGGTGTGAAAAACACACCTAAAGTCACGTAGAAGAAAAATAATAAAATAAATAAAATAAAAACATTCTCATGTTTCGACTGCAACACGAGCAATCAGGTGTGAATAACAGCAAGAAAATTTTCTAAAATTTTCCTAAAATCTTGCTGTTTTTCACATCTAAAGTCACGTAGAAGAAAAGCAATAAAATAAAAAATAAAACAATTCTCACGTTTCGACTGCAACACGAGCAATCAGGTGGGAAAAACAGCAAGAAAATAAAAAAAATGTAAAAAAAAGATTCTTGCTGTTTTTCACACCTAATGTCACGTAAAGAAAAACAATGAAAAAAATATATAAAAGGGTAAAAAAAACAATTATCATATTTTGCTACCGGCAAAGGAGGTTCCAATGGTGTAAATGCTTACCCCGAGCTCTCATACTCTGATGGTGCATTGTCTTTGAGTTGTACGCTTTTTGGCGTCATCTGGTCCAACCCATGTGAGACTAGGCTCTAAGGAAAGCTGTCTCGAGTGTGGACCAATCAACTTCAAGAACAATGCATACATTATCAGAGTTGTCTTTTGTTTGTATTGACTGCAGGTATTGCGGTCTATGCAAACATGACTCCTTGTAAAAAGGTGTCAGTTTTTGTTGCCAGATAGAAGGGTAAAAAACCAATTATCATATTTTTACTGGCAAATGAGGTTCCCATATTGTATTACTTTATACTGGTAGGAACGAAGTGGACCAGACCACCAATAGATTAATGTGTCCGTCCGTCCATCCGTCTGTCCGACAAGATGGCCGCCCGCTCCCCCTGCGATCTGTGAACTAAACAATATGGCCGTCGCTTCCGGCGCCTCACGGCGAAACTTTAAACTTCGCTTCAAATTTACTTCACTGAAACGCAGCACGTTTTTTTAACACAGAGACAAGATACATTTATTAACACAGAGAAGAGATACATTTAATCGCCTTATTTGTGCACGAAAAGCACGGCGCGAGGCCTAGTGCAGAGAAGGCTTCGCGAGGCCTAGTGCAGAGAAGGCTTCGCGAGGCAGAGTGCAGAGAAAGCTTCGTGAGTGTGCCAAGACGTCTGTGCCACCAATCCCGGTGTGCCATTTTAGGCTGAGTCGACCTAGGGGAGGACACGAGGATCGCGGTGACTCAGGGTCGCAGCCGTGATAAATCCACTGCTGGATGAACGCCAACCCCAAGCCGTCGCCCCCCCACGCCCTTATCCTGCTGCGATGTAATAATCCACCTATTATTGATCGACTGACTATGGGCGAACTCATTTATTCTGGTGGGTGAACAGTGGCGGGGAGGGGTGGAAGAGAAATTGATGATAAAAACAAACTTGCACCATCGCTACTGCTGCCGCGACGAGAGATGTGGGAGGAGAAGCGGCGACCGCTGCCTTGCAGGTGAGAGGTGCGTTTGTATGTGTGCGTGTGTGTGCGTGTGTGTATGCGTGTGTGTGTGCGTGTGTGTTTGCGTGCGTGTGTATGCGCGTGTGTGTGCGTGTCTGTGTGCGTGTGTGTATATGTGTGAGTGTGTGTGTGCGTGTGTGTGTGTGTGCGTGCGTGTGTGTATGCGCGTGTGTGTGTGCGTGTGTGTTTGCGTGCGTGTGTGTTTGCGTGCGTGTGTGTTTGCGTGCGTGTGTATGCGCGTGTGTGTGCGTGTCTGTGTGCGTGTGTGTATATGTGTGACTGTGTGCGTGTGTGTGCGTGTGTATGCGCGTGTGTGTGCGTGTGTGTATATGTGTGACTGTGTGCGTGTGTGTGCGTGTGTATGCGCGTGTGTGTGCGTGTCTGTATATGTGCGACTGTGTGCGTGTGTGTGTGCGTGTGTGCGTGTCCGGCCCACTCGAGCGACGTGATGAATGGGCGCTATTGGGCTTCGGATCGTTATTCACGGCGAACTGGAAGCGTAGCAACACAACTTCATTACGTGTGCGTGTGTGCGTGCGGTGTGTGTGTGTGCGGTCGATATCCCTGTACCGGTATTAGTATTATTCCTACCAGCCCACCCCGCAAGGTCCTGTTTATTTCCCTTCTGCGTGACTTTACCGAAATAACCAAAAATATCTTAACACCTGTTTTGTTGCCAAAAAAGGGGAAAAACCTCTTCTTATATGTTGCTACTGGCAAAGGAGGTCGCATGAAGTAGTGAGCCAGATGAAGACGAATTAAACTTAAGCAGAGGATTAACGCAAATGCAATCAGGCGAGGGCAGGAGGCAAGGCCCCGCGTGGCTAGGCCTCGCGTTGTAATGTTCCAACCTGGACATCGATTCCATACTCGCTGCTACTCAATTGATATCCCTACGAGAGAGAGACGGAGAGAGGCTCTACCTGGGTAAACAACAACCACCACGACAACAACAACAACCACGATGTTAACTTCTCACCTCGGATCTTAGAGCGTGCGCGCGGTGCAGCAGCTTCCGGATATACCGTGACGTCACGCGGAAGCAAGCGGTGACATGACGTCACTAGAGGGTTTGAACACACAAACCCCTC